GTTTACACATATTTATGCTATAACTGTAGTTTTATTTGTAGATAAAAGACTATTAAATTTCTTTAGGTTAAAAAACAATATATAGCATATGGTTAAAAGTGTATTGTGTTTTTGGTAAGACGTATCTATTTACAGTTTTCAAAACGAAGATTAAATGTGATATTTGGTATAATGATAATTGCTAAGTTCAAAAGAAAATCAGCTTTGTCAAAATTAAAATTGGATATAATGCATTGATAATGGTTCTGCAATGTTTTAAACTCTAGAAACTACTGCAAATGTACAATAAACGAAACAGATTTTTATGCATCGAATCCACGTATTTAAAAGTCACAAATATAATTTTCAAACTGTACTAGAGCTAATAAATTATTGAAGAAAAGAAAAAAGTTATGTCACATGGCTATATTAAACATTTAATATTACTCTTGACGAAAAATTTAAAGAAAAAAACCAATAATGTCTTCCACATTTTTCACACGCCAAAAATCAAACACCTAACTGAACACAGCCGATTTTTCTGTACCTTAATTATGTTCCCATTGGTTTTGATTGTAACAGTAGAATAATTGGTGTAGAAAGAAGTTTACACAATTTTTTTATGCTATAACCATTTTTTGTCTAGATAAAACATACAAGATCCAATGACTTTTTAATAGATTTAGGTCAAAAGAAAAAAGAAAACAACATATAATTTTTTTTAAAATTGTGTTTTTGATAAGATTTGATCTATGTACAGTTATACGAGTTTATTGGGGATGATTGGTTGAGTTGTATCTTCATTCTTTAGTTTTATTTATTTTTAAAGCATACATCAAATTTTTATTATTTTACCAATCATATTTTAGCTTTATTTAAAGTTACAACAACAAAAATAAAGCAAACTTTTTTTATATATATTTTAGGCAAAAGACTTACATCTTTCTTTTATAGGATGTAGAATCTGTATAATGAGAAAAAACTATACATAACATCAGATAAATTAGATAATCATATAAAAACATCTATAAATATTTTAATTTAATTTTGGGTGTTTCTAAATTATTGAAGTATTTTAAATAAAATAGATATTATTTATATATCACATTCGAAATAACCGTAAACTTTGATAATTTATAAAAAATATTAATATAAATTATCTTAAATTATAAAATAACTAATTTATATATACATCACATATTTTATATATTTTATTTTAAAATATCTACAGCTTATCTATAACAGTTTCTGTAGAAAAATTCTATAGTAACAATTTTATATAGACAACTAACTTACTTACAACTAAACTCTTATATATAAATTTTTATAGTCAAAGTGGAAGCAATCATCACCAATTATCTAGTGAAAAATGATGTAGAAGTTCTTTACAAGCTGTAAAAATCGATATTTTTGTTTTCTGGTTGGAGGGCTTTTTTTTTGTCATCTAAGGGTGGACTTTGCAATCTTAACTGGCTGGAATGAAGCTCATGGGGTCAAACATGTGTTGTATTTTTATTGGCTTTTACTTTGAGAATTATTGGTTTTGATATGTTTATTGGGATAATGTTGTGTTGTTTAATGCTTTTACTGACCACACGTTTGGTTGTCATGAAAAAATGTGGTTAGATGAGATTTGGAGCTTAAAAGAATTTTGGAATCGAATTGAAGAAGAAATTAATCGATCCCACGCGAAGAAGGAAATTATTCGAAGGCTGTGGATCAGTCGATTCAGGACAACATTATATCGATCCATCCATGTTTTATGGATTGCTTGATCCTGTAACCCGTTCATTGTGAATCCACTTAACCTAAATCGATCCGATCCCAAATAAAAAGACATATTTCGACGCAAATTCATATTAAACCAATCAGACTAATGTTTTGTAGCTTTTATCTTTACTTTTCTTTTGTTTTCTTAGTTCTTAAGCATCGACTTGAGCTTTTGTAACCATAGGGAGAAGGTATCTTTTTGTACTTGATTTGGAGAATCATTATGAACCCTTTTTCTTATTCTATACAATCTCATTATGTTTTCTTTTTATTCATGCATTTGCTCTTTGAATATGCATAAGTATGGGGTTTCTAACAAGAGGATTTCATTATTTGTTGATTTATAATAATTCCACAACCATTCAACACTTTACCAACTTCTATTATCAATTACTCTCTTAATCATTCGGTAGTAACTTTTGAGGCTTTCACACCATTATTTCTTTCTTTCGAAACTCCTCTCTTAAATTTCAAGACTTTGGGGGAATTGTTGCAGAGGGAATGCATTTAATGGAAGTGGATAGAGTTTTAAGACCGGGAGGTTACTGGGTCTTATCCGGACCTCCAATCAACTGGAAGACATACTACAAGACGTGGAAGCGGTCCAAGAAAGAACTCAAAGCTGAGCAAAGGAAGATAGAGGAGATAGCAGAGTCCTTATGCTGTATTGCTGGGAGAAGACATTGCAATCTGGAGAAAGAAAACAAATGACAGATCATGTAAGAGACCATCATCAACATCATTTGGTACAAGCCAGTGGAAGCATGTGTAACTCCATTCCCTAAAGTATCAGGGGGAGAGCTAAAGAAGTATCCTGAGAGGCTATTTACAAACCCTCCGTGTGTAACCAAAGGTTTAGTTGAAGGTGTGAACGTTGAATCATATCAAGAAGATAACAAGCTTTGGAAGAAACGTGTGAGTAACTACAAGAGAATCAATAGACTGATAGGTAGTACGAGATACCTGTAATGTGATTGATATGAATGCTGGACTTGGTGGATTCGCTGTTGCGCTTGAATCTCCTGAATCTTGGGTTATGAATGTTGTTCCAACCATTGCAAAGAACACTTTGAGTGTTGTCTTTGACAGGGGTCTCATCGGCATTTACCATGACTGGTAATGACAAAAAAAAACTCATAACAGATTGATCATTTGAACATCAAATCTTGATGATGTTCACTTTTAGTGAAGGTGTGAAGGGTTTTCGACATATCCAAGAACATATGATCTCATCCACGCAAGCAATGTCTTCAGCTTGTACCAGAACAGGTTAGTTCTTTTTATTTTTGTCATAAATCTAAAGGACTTTGAGACATAAATGTTGAAACATTATTATGTAGATGCAGTGTTGAAGACATTCTTCTTGAAATGGATCGGATTTTGAGGCCGGAAGGAACGGTTATTCTCAGAGAGGAAGTTGATGTTCTAAACGATGTAAGAAAGATTGCAAAGGGAATGAGATGGGAGACTAAACTGATGGATCATGAGGATGGTCCACTCGTGCAAGAGAAGATTCTTGTCGCCGGAGGAGACGGTGGTAACGTAGGGAACAGTTCTTTGCCGTCGAGTTATGAAGAATAAGAAACTACTAAGAAGCCAGCAAGACCAGCCACTGGAGAATTAACATACCCTCTGTATAATCCAAAAAAAAAAAGAAACTACTGAGGTTAAGCGAGATTTCGAAATTGTCTCATAGTTTTGATTAGGCCTATGTAAACCCCGTTGATTTTGGCTTTTTTTTTTCACTTTTCTTTTTAGCCCAGAAGTATTGTAAAGTACCAATTATACACTAGAATTACAAGTTCATACAATTTAGGCTGCCCTGTATTTATAACTCAGAGTGTAACTTACTT